TAAAATATCAAGAAATCAAGGAGGTCTAATGTTTAGTAAAATATCAAGAAATCAAGGAGGTCTAATGTTTAATAAAATATCAAGAAATCAAGGAGGTCTAATGTTCAGTAAAATATGAAGGAATCAAGGAGGTCTAATGTTCAGTAAAATATCAAGAAATCAAGGAGTTCTAATGTTTAATAAAATATGAAGAAATCAAGGAAAGTAATCAGTTTAGCCCAGTCAAAGGTATCTCTTGTAAGTAGTAAATGTCCGCTGTACATAATCCTTTAAATTACATTTGCATTCAAGTTATTTCTAATTTTTCTAATTGTTCTCATAAACTTTTCTAGGGAAGATATCAATAGAGGAAATGTAAGAAAATTTGAAGAATTGAAAAATGTTCATGATGTAACAGGAATTATTAAAGCATTCTTTCAAGAACTTAAAAAACCTTTGATTCCATGGAAAATAGCTAGGGTAAAAAAATATAAAACTAAGAAAATTTCATATTAATATTTATTTGTAATATTTGTGCGAGCTTCTTTTAGAATATAGGAGCTCTGGCTTCGATTGAAGAGAAAAAAGAAGAATTTACTTCAGAACTCTCTGCATTACCACTAGGAAATACAAAAGGCCCAAATATTTGGAGGAACCTTACAAGACCCCAGGGAGGGTTTATACAGGGTGTCCCAAAAAACATGGGAATTCAGTGACGAATTGGATATCGTCTTTGTTATGAATTAGCATTGTAATACCAATTTCAAAAGTCATAATATTATTATGNAATGAATCGTGATAGCCTAGTTCTACTAAATCATATGCAAGTTTTTTAAATCGTTTCGTAAAATGGACTAATAAATTGATAATAAAACGTGATTTTGATTCAATACAATATTACTATTGTCTATTCAGTAGGAAAAATAAATAATGTTGTTTTCTGTTTATGTACAGGGTTACTCGCAAAGGATGAGACTTCAGAGACGACTGTACTGATAAATATCTAAAATTGCCAAGTTGCCACATTTTATAAACAAATCTGCTGCAAATTTAAAAAAAAATCTATGAGAAATGGACCAAAGAACGATGAAAACAATTATTTCATTTTTTTCTTGTAACCCCTGTATGTCCTTTTGTATTCTGTTGTACCTGTAGAAAACAAGCTGGCGCTGGAGATAATTATAAATCATGTTCTAACCGTGATAAAGGAGAGTCAACACAACTTAATGAACACCAAATCCTTCTCAATCATTTTAGGCAGGATTTCATTAATATTGATTTGAATAAAACCAGCTGACATGTGCCCAGCGTTGCCCGTTGGTTCTTTAAAATATTTTAACAAAGAAATTTAAAAAAATATTCGACTAAAAAAATTTCGTTTTTTGTAGAAAAAACAAATGTCGGACTTTTTCTGTCATATTTGTAAAATAAACTGATATAAATTTTGCGTTATTTTCCCCCCCAAAAAAACAGTTAAAATTATTACCGAATATTTTTGTTTCCACTTTTCACTCCACAAGTGTGCATGTAATCTCTAGAAATCCATTTTTGAGGTCTTAAAATCATAATTTGTGTATGAAATAAAAACTGGGGGACTTATAACGGAATAAGGTCGTACATGAATTCCTGATATAAAGGTCATAATCTGACCAGGCCTACGAAGGACACAACTAACCCTGAAGAAGTAATGCTGAACTCTGGAGTACAGATTAAAACTGCTGAACATATTATTCAGCACTTTATGGAAACTGTTCAAGAAAACGATGAAATACAGAATAATTGTTAAAAACTATTTGTTCATAATCGACAAGTTTTATATTGACAAAATATGAGTTCTGTATATTTCGTCAAAGGATGTTCATCAAACTGAACAAAGGAATTGAGTTTTTGCCACAAACTCTGATTTTCTAATTCCTTTAACTTTGCAACCCGTTTTCCTAGACCTTTGATATTTCAAACTATTAATTCTGTAAGATCAGATAGTCTTAAGTTTGAAATTTCAAAGGTTTACATCACCAGGTTGCAAAGAAATAGGGGTTAGAAAATGCCAGTTTGTGGCACAAACTCAATTCCTTTAATGATTACAATGTACGTTGGTCTAATACCGAACATNAATAAAAATATAACAATATATATAATATATAAACATTACAATCGAACTTGTAAACATTATCAACCTAATACATAGCAAAAGGTACAAAGTTTAAAACTTGAAAATTCGACTTAATTTTAACATGTCTTTCGATAATTAAAAATACAGTCAACTTTTGCGACAAAAAAATTAAAAATGAAAGTTATATCAAAGCTAATTTAAAAAAAACCCTAATTTTGAGCAGATTTAAAGTTTTCTACGATCACAGGGTGTGTTTCATGATTAAGACTTTGACAATTTAAAATCTATATTTTGAGTAACAAGTACTTTATTAGTACAAGAGTTTATAGCACTTGAGTAATTGATAAAAATCGTAAATTTCGTAATTTTTAAAGAATAGCATTTAAAGGTCAAAAGTTGAAAAATGAAGTTTTTTCAGGTCACCTATTTGTAAAATTCATAGATCTGAGTAATTGATAAAAAATCGTAAATTATTAAAGGATAGCATTTGAGCGACAAAAATTTGTTTCAGTCAATCTATTTATAAAAATACCAAGGTCGGAGGCTGATTTTAGAGGTTTACAATTACATGCCGGACTCTGCAATCCCCTCATCGTCCTCGAAAGCCTCGTTGTCGTGAAGTTCATGAGGAAGCCGTTCCTCGAGTTCCTTGCCTTCCAACACCGCCAACAGACACTAAAAAATCGGGTGTTAAATAAATACATATATTCAACCATTTTCAATATTTAAGTTTGAAATTCCTTCTGATGCAAAATAAGGGGAAGGGATTGGCCTACTAGATCCCCAGACCTCAATCCTTGTGAGTTCTAATTATGGAATAATCTAAAATACAAAGTTTACACCCTGCTAGATCTCCAGACCTCAATCCTTGTGAGTTCTAATTATGGAATTATCTAAAATACAAAGTTTACGCCCTGCTAGATCCCCAGACCTCAACCCTTACGAGTTCTAATTATGGAATTATCTAAAATACAAAGTTTACGCCCTGCTAGATCCCCAGACCTCAATCCTTGTGAGTTCGAATTATGGAATTATCTAAAATACAAAGTTTACGCCCTGCTAGATTCCCAGACCTTAATCCTTGTGAGTTCTAATTATGGAATTATCTAAAATACAAAGTTTACGCCAAAGGTATGCCCGGTAAATGACTGCACCCTTTACATATATCCAGGCTGTGTCAACTTTCAAGACTAGGTTGACTTTCAAGTGTCACAGCGCCTTGTTTTAACCTGACTTATACTTTATTGTAGCCCAACCAAGGAGTGAGGAATATAAGGGAGATATAACTGACGCGGCCCGCCCTACAATATGATTATACATGCTTTGCAGATGGGTACTCCATTTGTATAAGAAATATTCAGAATCTAGTTTATTGTAAACGCGGTAATTGTACATCAGAAAAATATTTCTTATACAAATGAAGTACCGTCTGCAAAGCATGCATATTCATATGGTAGGGCGGGCTGCGACAGTTATATCTCAACCTTCTATTCCATACTCCTTGAGCCCAGCGCATTTACATGTCAGAAATTTAATTCAAATGTTTTTTAGCTCAAGTTTAAAGAAGTAATTCGCAAACTTAGGATTGCAGTGTCTTTAGCCTCAATCTCAATTGTATTTTTGAGAAGTATTTCATTCTGACAATTTGAAACAGAAATAGGCTGCAGTCTCTACTTTAAAATAAACAACCACAGATCAAAATACTCAATTTTCAAAGTTGTTAGTAACAAGTGGATTGTCATCTTAAAATTACGTTTACATACCTTTCACTGTATCAGATTGAGAATTTCAATCCATTAACATGTTAATTAACCACAATAACATGTTAATTAACCACATTAACATGTTAATTAACCACATTAAAACCAAACAAATATATTAAATAATAATGTGTACATATGTTCCATGTATTTCATGTACACTGTACAATGGATAAAAAGTCCAGACAAACAAATTTGTACATGATAAAATATTAATAAAAATATAACAATATATATAATATATAAACATTACAATCGNTCCTCTCATTCTCATCCTAATTTACTTGTTTCTCCTCTCATTTTTTGCGGTTTTTTTTGGCCTAATTCAGTCAATTTGTAAATTTTTCCAAAATTTCAACGGATTTAATCTTTTTAGACAATTACGAAAAAATGATATATGACATGATAAATTCAAGAAGTATTTTTTTTAGCTATATACTTTTTTTGCAATCTGCACGGCGGCCTTGCACGACCACTTTCCAATGATCTAAAAAAATTCTTGTGATAACTGACATCATAGAGAACAATATTAGCCTGAGAGTTCTTTGTGGAAAGTCGGACTGAGAAATTGGCCCGCTGGTTCTATTATTTTTTTCATTTTTACTTTTGCAAGTATTTTTTTTTATTATTTTCAATATTATTGCCACGGACAGGTATAATTTTTGTGAAAAATACATATTGCAACAATGCCTTAGAAAGTTAGAATTCCATGAAAATATAATTTGGGTTTTTGAAATTTATTCCAGAAAAATGTTTCACCCAACTATAAATTGGTAAGTGTACACTGTACACTCTACACCCTAAACTAAGCTTTCGGTGCGTACTGCAGTGAAATACAAAACTCTGAACCAAGAAATAGAGGGTTTTAATGGACAGTTAATTACCTGATGTATGCATATGTACTGTTGCTCAGTTTGTACCATCCAGACCCGTTCCTTCCTCATCTCAAATACTATTCCGAAAATATCAACAACATCACTCTTCCGTAGTCTCTGCAACATCAACAATATTAGTATATTATGGACACAATTCAACATCCGCAACAAAAAAATTATAAATTACAAAAACAATAATCACAATAATATATGTTTATAACAAAAACAACATCACCAACAATAAATACATGTGCTACGAAATACTTATCTTTTCTAATATGTACATCATCAACAACAACAACAACAACAACTTCGGCATTAAGATATTACGAAGCATCCTGCATTAAAATTCCGTAGTTTGTACCCACAGCAATATAAGTTTATAACAAAAACAATATCGATCAACCTTTATCTTTGTTAGTTTAAAAACTAACGAAAAAACAAACGTTTTTTGTTACGTTTCATATATTCTTCTGTTCAAACAACCTTCGTTAACCAAACGAAAAACAAGATAAACAAAACTACCACTTCGTTTTTAATCTTAGAAACGATTCTTACCAAAATTGACCGATCTTAAAACAATTCTTTTCGTTTTCGGTTTTTTTCTACTTCGTTAACGAAACGATCCGTTCGTTTTTGATAAATCTCTACCTGTAGAATCCTATCCAGTGCTATAAATGTTCCTGAGCGCCCAACCCCCGCGCTACAATGCACAACAATGGGTCTCTGCTCGGGACTCACTCGTTCACGGAAAGCGCGAACAAACCTAATAAAAACAAAAATAAAGATTGTCAACCATTAACTATAAGATCTCTCCGTCCATCCATGTAATGTCGTCTTTAACTTGAAATCCCCTCTCGGAGACACCAAACCAAACAATTTTGGCCCCGTTTTCTTTGTTCTCCGGTAACGGAGTCTAAACACTTTTATAATTGTGAACAGAATATTTTCATATAAAGAATTAGTAACCTTCGTTAATAAGGTTAGTATATAAAAAACGTCTTAGGACTCCCCGACGGTTTTAACCTTTATCCTTTATCCATATCCTTTAATAGATCGTAAGAATCTTTTCATTATAAAAATTATAAAACTTTGTAATAATTTATATGTTATTATCATTTTTTAGGAAATAAAGAGTTTCTCTGCATTATCGGTTTTGATTTGAGGGTTATCCCGTTGTCTAACTGTTCAGTACTCATTATTGAGAATCTTGCTGCTAGCCGACAACAAAGATATGTTTCTGCAATCAGAATCTTATTCTAGGATTTTAGATGCGCTTAAAAATATATTTTAAAAAGACATTTAGGGGGAACAATGATAAGGAAAACAGGGGATTTTATTTCCTACAAAACACGTGCCAAATCCTCTCTCTAACATTTAAACAACCCCCTATCTAACAACAAGTTTAGGACAGGTGTACTGTTGAGTCCTAAGACCTATTTTTATTTGTATAAAAAAGGAACAATGAAAAAATTTAGCAGATACATGTTTGTTGCTTTACGCAATTCCAATGCTTTGCTAAAAACTATTTTGGATTCTAACTTTGACCTTTATCTTGTAAATCTATTGTAAACTGCGCCTAGTGGGGGCACTGATTACAACCCCCCCCCCCTCCCACAAATACTGTACCTGACTAGGGTCTGGGGTGGATCAGGAACACCGAAATCTGGCCAGGTTGTGAAGTGGAAATGACGAATGGTTCGAACTAAAAAAAAGGTTAAATAATATTTTTTTTCTAAATTTTAATTATTTTCAATGTATTTTTAATGGATACCGCCAACAAAATAACGATTACACTAATGATTATGATGATGCTAAACTTTTGATAATTAAGTATGATGAAATTAAAAACAATAATTACAGCTTTCAAGATGTACGAAAAACAAGGTATTTAAAGGTCAAAAATATTACTCTTAAAAAGCCTTTTTTAATATAAACTAATAAAAACATTTTATTTTTATTTTTTCGATGATAAATACATTCATCAAATAACAACAATGATAACAATAATAATAATGATACCTGTGTCTCCTCTCATCATTCTGAATTCATTAATATTCCAATCCTGGAAGTGGGATTCATTCAGGATAGTAACCTAGAATAGATACAACTAATGGTAACAGCAATAATAATAATAAAATAATGATAACAGAAATAATGATAATACTAATATTAACAATATTAATAATAACAATGACAATAACAACAAAAACAATAATAATAAAATTGCAATGCCAATGACAACAAAAACAATAACAATAACCATAAGATTGACAATAACAATAACGAAAACAACAATGACAATAACAATAACGAAAACAACAATGACAATAACAATTACAATATAACAAAGACAGAAACGATAAAAATAACGATAAAAATAACAATAACAATAACAATGACAATATAAAGGAACATAACAATAACAATAACAATTTTAACTTTAAGAGACGTCCTGTTTCCATACTTCAAACTAGGAATTATTAAACTAGATCAAATTTCAAGCCATGCTTTAAAATTTGTAATTTACTCCAATTTGAATATAAATAACAATAACAATGAGGATAATAGCAAAAATTAAACAAATTTTAGTCTGACTTGAGTAAATTTTTTCAATCTTTAAAATACGGTCGTCGTCGAATATATCAATATAATAAAGAAAACTTTCGATTTCAATTTTTGATTTCTACCAATCTTTCAATCAGCATGGATACAAATAAACAAGGAAACAGAAAGTAGCTGCTCTTTCTCTACTTTTAAACGTAAATTTGATAAAGCTTGTTAAAAGCAAAACTTGATGGAAAAGTCGTCTTTATTGTAAAGATATAAACGCCGACCATTGAACAATGTCCAACACTACCTGTATATCTCCGTAGTAAACGGATTCAGTGTCAAACGGCCAGTAGTGGTCACACTTTTCCCTTCCCTTTTCAATACACCTAATAATAAAAAATGCATATTTTTTCAGCAAAATAGTTTTTTTTTAATTAACGTCACAGTCAACCAAAATAAGGTTTAAAAAAATATAATTTAAATAATTTTTTTTTAAAACTGAAGGTTTTGACATAAAATGTTTACCAAAATGTTTATGTAACAGCGCTTTGTTTAAACAATCACAACCAAAAACCATAATTTTAACGCTGTGAAAAGCACACCTTAGATTTTATTAGGTAAAGAAATTAGCAGCTTTCACCATTTACGACAAATAGGCCAGGCCTTCAAGATAACGTATTAAATGATATTGGATAAGACAGGAAGGAGTTATATTATACCTTGTCAGCATAACAATAGCTCTAGAATTCGTCTCCCAACACATTCGCCAGAAATCATCACGAGTTGAATGCAGAGGTCCCTTAATAATAGGACTAATAATGATAATGATTATTTAATATTAATGATAACAAGGGTGATTATAATAACATAAAAAAATAGAAGAAAAAAAACACTAGAAGAAAAGGGAAAATTAAAACAATAAGAAAAAGTGACAATATCAAATTATTATTTTAAAATAACCTAAACCTTCAAATAAATTGATTAAAATTTTCAGTTATTATCATCATCATCATAACATTTTTCTGTTTAATACTGCACTCTCGGTTTAAATATGTTACCTAGCCGGTCTCTCCCTTTAAAGAGCCAATAAATCCCCCGGGTTCTGTTTTGTTTGTGAATACATGTTTCTAGGGAATACTTACTTGAGTTACAATGAACTCTCGTTTAGAGTTGTATCCGGGTACAAAGTTTGCGTTGATGAAATCTGAACCTTCCTCGTCATCTGTAGGCTGGAGTTTTACACGGGAATGGTCGTAGGGAAGGATATTGGTAAATCTAAATAAATAAATAATGTGATTTTTTTTTATTTTTCCTTTTCAATCTGACCACATCTCAATCCTACCACATGACTGGTTGGCAGGGTTATGCCCTAATGACAATTCAAAGTAGACCCGGTCTTTGTTCTGTTAAGCGTGGTTGCGTCTGTTATTCACCTGTTTTTAGGTCTATTGACCGGCAGGTCGGCAGCTGTGCAGGGCTGGTCACGACCCACGTGTTTAAACTCTTCATACTCTTCGCTAAACCTAGAATAATTTATCTTATCAATCGTCTTCTAAATAATTATCCATTCAAGTGCAAAAAACAGCAGTATTACAAAATTATTTTCATGTAATTGCTCTGATAAAAAAATAATGCTAAAAGTAGGTCACTCTTGAACTCTAACCTGAAATCACTGTCAGCTGACATAATCCGGTAGTGTTCGGCAAAATCCTTGAGTTTTACGGGTCTAGAAGTTTCTATTACAGAATCAGGTAAACTAACCTAGATTAGAAAAAAAGTTTAAAAACGAACATAATTTTCTAATTAATGAAAAACAATTATGTTTACAACAAGAAATATCATAGAACACAATTTAAAAAAAGAATTTTTCTTTTTTTAAATCATAACATAATTTTAAAAAATGGCGGAGTTCGAAATGGCGGATTTGTGTTTACCAGATCAGCTGGAGGTCCTCTTCCAAGATGGCCGCCCCTTTTTCCGAAAACTGTACAGTGGAGTTTACGGAGAACAACAAAAGCGAGCAGAATTAATACTAGCAACACTGAAATAATGCATGTTATAAAGGTTTTAAACTTTTTCATTGTGTATTTTTTTTTCGTTCTAAAAATATTATGATTTTATAAAAAAGTTAATTGTCCATGTCGTCTTGACATTCGATTTTATTCGATCTCAATTCAGAAAATTATTTATTTTTCTTTAGGATCACATAATCTAAATTCATCAAAGGTTTACATCATCAGGTTGTAAAGATATAGTGATAAGAACATTTTAGTTTGTGACGAAGACTTTATTCCTCAAGAAATTGATTCGGAGAGGTTTCTTCAAACTATAGTTAAGAACAAAAATAATAAATACCCATGTAAGGAAAAATGGAAAAAAAAATTACCGATTGGTACAGTGATCCCAACTAGAATAGCCGTGTTGTCAGGTTCTGTCATCATTCCTTGGCTCCAGGCAGTTTCAGAGAATTTATCAGGACCAGTGTACGCCCGAACCTAGGAACAAGATGGATCGTTTTTTCTTTTCCATTTTTTTTAACTCGTGTATAGATTTTTGTTTTCCCCCGCTTTATGGAAGGGCAAAATTATGTGAAAATAAACAACTTTTAGGAGACCAGAACTGAAAACTTTAGAATTAGGGATATCAAGACTAATGCTTAAACACCTGGTTTTACTAAACCTTAGATTATGCTAAAACGCATTCGCTATCCAAGAAAGAAGTTGAAATTTTAACCAATCAGCGTATCATGTTAAGATGTACTCTTAAACTTTTGAAAAACCGGTTTTGATTTCTGGTGTTGATGGTGTCATATCAATTGAACTAAACATCGATTGAACGAACGTACGTTTTGGATTTATGTTTATTAAGACGAACATTCAAAATGACAATAGTCCTAAAATGTGTTTTTAATAATTTCATATTAACATGATTAAATTTATATTTGTTTAAATGCTCTAAAAGCCGGCTTGTGAACAGCTGACTTTAATTCAATCGGATATTAGTCCAATCGATATAGCATTGTATCTGTAATTGATATCAAACGTAACTTTTATACAGTAGAAATATCCAAAAAGAGGATTATAAGAAGAAAATCAAAAGTTTGTCCATTGGATAATCAGATTAAGCGATCGGGATTAAGGATATCTCATTCTAAAGTTTTCAGCTCAGCATTAAAAGTAAAAGGGAGAAACTTGCCAGTTTGTCCTAATCTTAATCCCTTCCCTCAATCTTCAAAATAAATGTTTCCAAATAATGTGTTTACCTTAAATCTATAAATTGCACCGGGTTTGAGGGGTCCGTTACACTTTCCATGCCTGAAAAAAATATTGATTTTTGAAGAAGAAAAAAATAGATTTTTTAGCCTATGCTACTCCCTGGGCACCCATGGGTTCCCTAAAAAAAGTCAGCCAATTCGGTCCAGCCGTTTGGCCAGCTAACAAATAAATATTCAAATATATATATACAAACATGAGCGAAGAGCTTTATTATGTAGAAAATGTAAGATAAACCAGACTGTGCATAATTTTGTAGTGCAATACAAACAAACTCAGAAAATTTTGAAAACCCATCACCCATGAAACATAAAAATATTGCTTTACCTGGTCAAATTACTAATGGACATTGATTATTGACATTTCTAGCCTTAAAGGGACTGTAAGCTTAATTTCAGGTGATCCTCCATGCAAAGATGGCAATGCCCGATTCACAATGGTACTCTTAAAAGTTATGTTTGATCAAGTATGAATTAGATAGTTCTATTTAAACATAAAACAATATTATTTTCAATTGTGGCTTCCAGTGTATTGATCAAACAAAGGTACTGCAAGGGTACCATTGTGTATCGGACATTGCCATCTTTGTATAAAAGGTCACTTAAAATTACGCTCACAGTCCCTTTAAACCAATTAAAATTGAAAAAGTTAAATTATATAAGATATCATTTTTTAAACAGTAGCAAATAATTAGTCGATATAATCACGTAGTTAAAAACCTCAAAAAAAAAACATTTAAACAAATGAATATTGTGCACGTCAATTGCGTTGTCTGTTTTAAACAAAGAATTTTAGTACAAAATTATTGACATTTAGGACATTTCAAAGTAATACAATGTGATCTATTGATATTTGGTAGCTTTTGCTAAATCATCAGTATCATATTTACATCTAAATAGTATTTGCTGAATGTTTGTACTACAAGTTTGACGTATGTTAACAAAATACAACCTTTTAATTAAAATCATTTCTGCACGGAAATTGAGTTTGTTCAATTTTTTGACAGTTAATTTTGAGAGGTTCTTAAAATTGTATCCAATTTTGCTTTCAATACTTATTACACTACATTTTGCTGTTTTGTTTTGAGTGTTGAAATCTTTCAGATCATGCAATTCTCTAATGTGTTCAACGTACAGTCCTATTCTTAAAACCCGGTGTGGCGTTATTTCTGGGTAAACGTTAAATAATGGTAGTAGACTCTACGCAGCAAATTTTCCTCGGNCCATATTTTTTTCCTCAAAAATACCCGAGAAACTAAGAATTTTGTTTGAATTTCAATGTATTAAATAAAACCATAAAAATATCTCATTCTTAACGAAATCATTTTTATCTCTGGTAATTTTGAAAACACAAAAATACGGCGTCTTGAGTCAAACACAAAATGTTAGTCGGCACTCTGAACTTGCCCTGTACAGTATGAGGATGAGTTGGCCAACTCGTCTGTCCAATGGCTAACCAACTTTTCCCAAACCAACATCTGACAATCTGATGTATTCCAACCATATTCTACATTCTCTACATCCTCCAGAATTCTACGGGGCATGAAAGTTGGCCATTGTTTTTAATAAACAAAAACCGGTCGGAAATAGAAAATAGGTGTTAAAGTTTAAAGGCACTGTAGAGTGACTGTCCATTTATAGCGTGGAATGTCCGATGCACTACGGCATCCTTAAGGGCAAAAAAGATAAAATTGCCAGAATTAACCACACATATTAAACTGTTTATTTTCCTCTGTTTCTCTGATAACGTTATTGCTCTTCTTTCTTTAAACTGTTTATTTTCATCTGTTTCTCTGATAAACATTATTGCTCTTCTTTATTTAAACTGTTTATTTTCATCTGTTTCTCTGATGAACAAAGTTGCGATCACAAGAGTGTATGCGTACAGTCCCTTTAAAGTTGCGATTACAAGAGTGCATGCGTACAGTCCCTTTAAATTTGCGATTCGAAGAGCTAACAAGTTTTCTAGTCCATTCACAACAGGCTATTCCTTTTAAGACATTTATTGCAGGGGCAATGCGAAAGTTTTCTAATATTTTCTATTTCAAAAAGCGCGGAAATTCTGGTAATTTTTGCACTTTCCTCTGATGCATAAAGCCATAGGGTCACTTTTTACAACATGACTATTTGATAATTATCAATTTTTAGTTAGAATAACTAGGACAAGTTATGCAAGGAATTAGATTGCGTAGATATACAAAAGAGGAACAGAAATCAGATGTATGATCAGCTAAAAAGAAGATACAAAAACAGCCATCGAAAAAATTAACTGCTCTTTAAAGTCCGGTCTTCCAGCCGCCGCCGGTTCGAAACGTGTTCATGGAGAAAGCGGTATTTGATGACTGAGTAGGCCGAAACAAGATTTTTTTAAATCACACAATTTCTCTTTTTAACATATTATGTCTGAATACTGAACTTGAAGTTTGGGGTCTTTAATAAAGGAAATAAGTTCAACAATAAGGATCAAGAATCTTTTTTCATTTTTCGATATTTTTTATATAAATGTGTGTATACTTAGGAACAGCTTTTGGACATTTTTAGAAAAAGTTGAATCAATACTTTTGAAGTGTTCTTACCATGCTCATCGCTGAAGTAGTTCTTTCTGAATCGTATTGTTATAGTGTGCATGGACCTGAAATATATATTGTCAATAATAAAACATATCTATGAAAAAAGTGCAATTTGAAATGTAGTACTGCAGTCGGAACTAATGTATCAAATAAATAAAAAAAAATCAACCATTGTTCGTTGTTAATCCCTTTAGTAAGCACTAATCCTATATCTTTAGTTCCGACTGATAAAATTAAATCCTTTCAGATTTCTCTTGAGTTCCGACCATTAAAAACCAAACAAAACTGGTATAACTGGATATCTTCGTTGGATACACGCTTTTAGCAGGAAAAAGGGTATAACTGGATATCTTCGTTGGATACACGCTTTTAGCAGGAGAAAGGGTATAACTGGATATCTTTGTTGGATACACGCTTTTAGCAGGAGAAAAGGTATAACTGGATATCTTCGTTGGATACACGCTTTTAGCAGGAAAGAGGGGGGGGGAGGTACCTGGTACCTGGATATCTGTGGTGGACACACGCTTTTAACAGGGGCGTTTACCTGGATTGCTCTGTTGGAAACACGTCTTTAGCAGGGGGTGGTGGTAAAATCGGCATTTTTTGCTCCCGAATAAACCATTTCCCATACCCAATCTAGTAAAGAAAAAACGTAATTATCCAACTAAATAAAATTCTAATTAAAACAAAAGAACTGCTCCGCTCATTAGAGAATGTTTCCTACCTTAGTCCTAGCATGAATTTGGAAAGTATATTTGGCACCAGGAACCAGATCTGTTATTGTTCCCTACATAAAAAATTTAATTTTAATGATACTAAAGACGTAACTTCATGAGACCCTTTTTGGGAGCGCCATGTTCGTGACATCAAGGTATCCTTGGTTTTAAACGTTTCGTCAGATGAAGGATGAACAAAATACCAAACCAACTTAGTAACTTGTCTTTTGTTCAACTCCAATTCTCAAGATAAATGACTTATGGATTTTAAACAACAAATTTAACTTATAAAAAGAGAAGTCATTTCATGGAACCCTCATTTTATAAAGTGGCATTAAAATAGAACAATTGGCGTCATTTTACAAAATGACGACATTTAAAAAATGCGGGAAATTTTTAAACTTACCTGGGTTTCAAAGGCATCAAAATGGCGACTTTCTGCAGGAATAAAAGGTTTCCCGTCTTCAGGTTTAGGTCCCCATTGAATAGTAAAACCAGTTATAACACCATTAGCCTGAAAGCAAGGCTGTACTGCAAAATCTGACTTAACAAAGCTGATCTGAATCCAGCTCATAAATTCTTTAAGCTAATTTTTTCTATTTTCCAAATTCTTCATAAAAAAACTTAATTATTTATTAAATGATCCCAAGCATTACATTAGTAATTAACTTCCTATACTAGCTCGGAAATCCAGATTCGCCTGGAAACTAAACGTTACTATAAACGTTACTGTAAAAGTCAACCCAATCCGCTCAACTTAGGTCTTTACATCAAGCTAAGAATATTTCAGAAGTTTTTCCGAGTTTCCTTTTCAGATTAAATACAAATCGGAGTAGGGGATCATGAATTTTTATTAGACATACAAAAACACAAACAAACAAAACAGATAATTGTTCATAACTTTATAGATGAATCTTTTTTATTTCAATTAATCTTTTCTACTTCCTACTTTTAATGTTTTCTATATTATATTATGTTTTTACCAAATTATTCATTTATATTTTTTAATATGTCCATGTCCAACCTGTAATAGCGGTAACTTCCATTGAAAAGTGATCTGCGAGGGTTTAACGTCCAATGGTTCAAAACTTGCTAAACTACCGGGCACACTCTCCTACAAGAGTAGCATTTTACATAATAGTTGATAAATGATAAAGGATAGCGATAGTGATAGTGATAGTGATAGGACAATGACAATGACAATGACAATGACAAATTACAAATGACAAATGATAAATGATAAGTGATAAGTGATAAGTGATAAGTGATAAGTGATAAGTGATAAGTGATAAGTGATAAGTGATATGACAATGACAATGACAATGATAATGATAATGATAATGATAATGATAATGATAATGATAATGATAATGATAATGATAATGATTATAATAATAATAATAATAAAATAATAGAATTCAGTTCAAAGTTATGAGTTTCTAATTGAAACCTAAATTGTTTACTCATGGTACTATTGTGAATCAAGATTAAAATTTGTTTACTGTAGAATCACTAAAGATTGCGTTAATTGTCCCTTTAAAGAGCCCCAACTAACCTCGGTAGTATAATTTGCACTGAATGTTGTAGATCGTCTTGGCATATTCTGATCATCTCCAGACTTTGTAACAACAGTGAACGTGTAGTTTCTATAATAAATATATAAAAATATAAAAAAATAACAGGAGATAGTTTTTAAACTGTTCTAAACATTAAAGGTTATTTGGATTTTAAATGACAATGAATATATTGATTCTAAAGTAATCGCAATGGATAGTTCCTAAATAGTTATCACGGTGAACATCTAGTTCATAAATTGCAATTACAATCAATTGTTCCTTAATTAAAATCCCAACGGATAGTTCCTAAATAGTTATCACAATGAAAAAATTGTGCCTAAATAGTGTTCACAATGTACATGTTGTTCATAAATAGGAATGACAATGTTCATTTTGTTCCTAAATAGTAATCAGAATGAACATTTAGTTCCTAAAAAGTAATCACAATGTATAATTCCTTAATAGGAATTACAATAAACATAAAGTTTCTTAATAGGAATCACGATGAAGATATTGTTCCTAAATAGGAATCACAATGTATAATTCCCAAATAGAAATCACCATGGATTATTCCTAAACAGGAATCACAATGGATTGTTCCATTGAATGAATAATGAATAACTAAAATTGAAAAAAAAACATTTTTGGAAATTTATAAGACACTTTTTTACCTTAAAAAGCAATATTTATTTTATTATGCAGTTATTTTATTTCTGCAAAAGTTTGGTTTTTTAATTTTTATTTTGAAATAAATTGACTAAACAATAGAATTATTTGTTAACCTAATGACACCTGAAGACCTACTAATAATAGTATTATGCGAAGCTGTGTGTACATGCGTCGGCAAGTTTTTCAAGTTAAACATGGAAAATTTTCGAAATATTATTAGTTTGTAGCACAGATTTTCGACATTATCAGTTTAGAGTACAGATTTTTGTGTTTTGTGTCAATCAAGTTTAGAATGGAGTTTATTTACGCATAGCATTTATTAAGAGATCATTCGGTGAATAAAGGGAGGGGGGGTAGGGGGAATCGGTGACATTAAAATTAGAAAATAAACCCAATAACTTCAGAAAATGTGAGTTCAAATTGTCTTTTTAAAAATATTATATTCTTTTGCAAAGTCCATTTTGGTGATTACATTTTAGATTTTCAACGATTACTTACAATATCAATTAAACGACATAAAAACTAAACTCTTTAAAATGTAAGGTCATACTTTTAATATTAAAAGGAATTCCTAGTCCACTACTAGTTCGGTTAGTTCAGCAGGGGTGCTTATTTTTCGGAATTAATTTTTTTTTATTTATTTAAGGGAAAAAAGAAAAATGGGGCTTAAAAAGGCAAGTTTTTAATTTTATTTTTTAGTTACTTTTAACCCAGGAATTCATTAATTTTCTCTAGAAATAATTTATTTTCCCAAATTCAGCCAATAAAACCCTAAAAACATACATAACTCAAAAATGAAAATGATTTTTAGAGAAAATATACACCCCTGTAGTTGAGAGGAACCAAGTTAGACTACTCCAGTATGAAACTTACCTGAATGGTCTCAAGCTCCCAATGGTGATAGAGTTTGTAATAGTATAGTTCTGAATGAGCCTGTTCTGATCATCTTGGTAAAGAACCTCGAAGGAATCAAAGTCTCCCTGAGGTTGATCCCAAACCAAACTTATTTCCTGAATTAAAATCATCTTATTTTATCATATAAAATCAAAGGGAGTGTAAACTTGTAAAAATATATCAATATGTTTCCTGCAGTAGAATGCGTAAGTCACTTATGCAGAGAAACCACAATTGAAAATTATCAATTTTCGGAATTCAAAACATTGATATATAATTTGCATACTTGATCAGATAAAGCTTTAAAGAAGTTGTGAATAAAAACATTGCCATCTGTGCATAAAGGCTCACTTGAAATTAAACTTACATTCCCTTAAAGGGAGTGTTCGTGAAAAATGAATGGGGGTATAGGCTTAATGCGATAAAAAAGCGCTTTTGATCGCTACTAATTTTACTTCTATCTGTTGCGTCTATAAAGAGAAAATTGTTAAAGACTACTCATAACAAATAACTTAGCGTCCCTGAAAAAATTCCAAAAGTTCATTGTGAATTCTAGAATTCTTTTTTGTACGGTAAATATGGCCCACCCTTGAGTTTAACATAAATAAATAAATAAATTGGTCAACCATCATCCCATGGGAGTCAGGATTTAGCTCTCATCAAACCGTACCACCATATTGGTTGGCAGGGCGTCACTGGTCCATGTTTCAATGAAACAAAGTGTGGAGGGCCAGGCAAGAGTCAAGTTTAAAGGCGGGCTGCCTTAAAACCGTTAGCACACTCTCCATAATGTTAACTTTGCTAAAACAACTAATTGCGATTTGTTTTTTCTTTGTACACAGTATCAGTATACCCTATAGACTCAAGAGGATAATTTTGTGGATAAAATTACCTGGGAAGATATACTGGTTGCATTAATATAGGATACAGGCTGAGGATGAAGTCTCTCCTAAATAAAAACATGAAGTTTAAAAATAAAATTCAGGGTGTATATTTTCTTTAATCTGGGAAAAAAATGAAAAATTAGGAAATCAAAAAGAAATTTTTCCTTTCTTTTTCATACTTTTGATATCATTGGTTTTCCCAAAGTGAGAGAATAAAAAACTAAAAAGAAAATATGAGCTCCGGGGCCCGGCCCGGGCAATCATAACTTTTAGAAAAATAAAAATATTTTTAAAAGGGGGTGGGAAAAGAAAATGATTTTTCGAAAAATTATACACCACTGCATGGTTTGATTATATTAATGATAAATAAATAAAAACATGAAGTTTAAAAATAAAATTCAGGGTGTATATTTTCTTTAATCTGGGAAAAAAATGAAAAATTTAGAAATCAAAAAGAAATTTTTCCTTTCTTTTTCATACTTTTGATATCATTGGTTTTCCCCAAGTCAGAGAATAAAAAACTAATAAGAAAATATGGGCTCCATGGCCCGGGCAATCGTATATATTATATAACTTTAAGAAAAATAAAAATATTTTCAAAAGGGGGTGGGAAAAGAAAATGATTTTTCGAAAAATTTTACACCCCTGGTTTAATTATATTAATGATAAGTTTACTAGTGAACAACCCTCCTTAGTTTAGGTTCTACCTGTCTCTCTTGAATACACCTCTGGTTAAAATGAATGAGAAGTTTACTTGTAAACAATCCTCCTAAGTTAAGATTCTACCTGTCTCTCTTGAGGTCTTGAGGTGACACCCCCCGACACTGTCCAGAGCGTGATATTGTAAAGCCGACCAGGGACCAGGTTCAAGAATGTTACCTGTAACACAATTACTTTTTAATTTCGTTTGGGATCGTTTTGAAAAAACAATACAATAAAACTTCAAAGATATTAAAACTGTAATATGTTTAAGTTGCATAAATTAATCTTATCCTAAAAAAATTAAAAACGACCCAAACACGATTGTTGCCACACCTGCATCTTTGGATCGTTTATGGATCGTTTTTGCAACGTTTTCGGATCGAGTTTGGATCGTTTTTGCAACGTTTTTGGTCCTTTAAATCGTTTTTTCTATTTTCCTTTTGCCAGGGTCAAAATTCGACATAGTGTAGGAAGGGCAAATATTTAGATTTGACAATTTTAACTTGACATTGAATTTTCTTTTACTGCCTTTTATCCCTGAAAGAAACTACAGGCAAAAAACGAACCAAATGAAGCAAATCACCACAATTAAGTTATCTGTTTTAATACGACCGTGAAGGTAGGATATTTTCAGCTCTTATAATCTGACCTTACTCCGACAAAAAAGTGCCAAACTAATTTGCTTTGAACATATTCAATGAAATTGTATTAATCTTAAAAGTTATAAAATACACATTCTTAAGCAAAGATTCTAATTAAATCGACACCTTAGCTTCAGCATTTTATTCTGGTTTTGTATGTAAGTTTGTTAAATTAAATTGAATATTAGTTTTATATTATCAAATCTATCTTATTCATATCAAAAAAAGACATCTTCCGCAAGATATAAGCACCATTTTCAAATATTAAGCTATTTTATCTTTTTATTTTTGAGTTTCCGCTATATTTACCTTTCTGTCCAAGTCACTTGCAAATTTTTCTTTGAAGGGTATATCGGGATCGGACAGCATAAACCTTAAAAAAAATTGTTTATCATAAAAATTTTTTTTTACATAGTTTCATGAAAACCTATAATTAAAGAGATAACAACACGATTCACAAAATAAGTCTTGATCTTTTAAATTAAAGAAAATTTAGTTTTCTCTAACAATCTTATGTAAAAAGAAAAATGATTCAATTGAAGTCATCTCTGGATTGTTCAGCAGATTGACCCATCCAGCATCTCGGCAAAAAAAAACTTCAGCTTTTAACCTTATTTCCCTCTCCTATGTAATATGTAACATTTTTACTTGGTTTAACATGATCTTATATTTTGATTTTGATTTCAACAATGATTCTGACGGTAAAACGTAAATTTTATCAAAAAAATAAAAAATAAAATTTTTTTTAAGTAATTTCAAATTAATAAAAAAAATTATAAAAAACTTCCTACTAAGTTTAAATATACGAAAAATGTGATCTTTTAAAGTTTCAACAATATATTTTCACCTTCTTAAGTTTGTCAAAAAAAACTAGTGACCAAATTTTATACAATAAAATGCAAGTGAGTAAATTGCAAAAGTAAATTAAGCGTGACATTCTGCAAAAAAAAAGTCTAGCCTAATTAAACGTTTAAACTTTTTGCAATTTTTTGTGTTGAACATCAACTGATAAAGTCTTTACAGATGAAAAGTCATGCAATACAATGCAAAAAATCAACATTCACAAGATTATCAGAAAATTTACATCTTTTTATCAAGTTTGAGGTACGTGGGCGCCATGTCAAATTAAAATTTAAACAGCATTATTTTTTCATACTTTTTACAATTTATATAATATTAATTCACTTCTCATAAAAAAGAATATTTTAGAAAATTATGTAAGATGATGTGTTTCCTGTGCATTTACAAAGAATATGTGCAGTGTACAGTACGGTGTACAGTACAGTACAGTACAGTACAGTACAGTACAGTACAGTACAGTGTACAGTAAAAGTGTAAAGTACATACCTGTAGGTGTCAAAAGTAGATCTTTGCATCGGTGTGGGGGTATATCTGAGTACAAGTGACTCAGTGGTCTGAACAAAATAATAATAATTATTTATTAGCAATTATTATTATCAGATATGTTATTTTCTAACTTTTATTACAAACATTTTCTGTTGTAGTATTTAAGATATACATGTCTTACAAGGATCTTTGCATCTCCAGTATTTTTTTTTTTTTCACACATTATTTTTTAACTTGATAAACTAATTATTAGGAAGATTGTATCAAAAAAGAAATAAAAACGTTGAATCTAAAATAATGTATTGTTTATCATTTACAATATACTAGGCTTTTAGGGCGCTACGGGCACATCTTCTATTTTAACTTTTAATTGTGGCTTTATTTGTGAGCATCTCTTTGTACAGCATAGATCAAAAACTGAAAATTTCGCAATATTTTTTTGCGCGCGTTCAAAATTTTACAAAAATAAAAAACTTTTAACCACAAATATTTGAAATTTGATTATATATAAACCTTCCCTGGGGTCACGTGAGGTCCCACACAAAATTTAGGTCCGATCGGTTCAGCTGATTTGAAGTTTATTGGATACAAACAAACACCCAGACAGAAAGACAAGCAAAGTATATACAATATACAAATACAATATACAATATACAATCTATATATTAATTTGGCTTGTCTGTCTGTTTGTTTGTATCCAATAAACGTCAAAACGGTTGAACCGATCGGGCCCAAATTTTTTGTGGGACATCACGTGTCCACAGGGAAGGTTTATGAATGATAAAAATTACAAAAAAAATGTGTTTTAAAGGCTTTTAATAATTAATTTGTAAAAAAAATTAAATTCTCGAAAATCCGCGACTTTTTTTAAAAATCCGCAAAAATTTTTCTTCTTTGTTTTTAAATGTAAACAAAAAGAACACGTTCACAATTTAAATAGAAGATGGGCGTGAAGCGCCCTAAAAGCCTAGAAAGAAGGGCGCGAAGCGCCTTGAATTTCTAGTATACAATATTATACAATATACAATATACAATATACAATTTAAAAAATACAATATATACAATTTTTACAATGAGACGTACCCAATACCCATGAGAATCTGGAATAAGGAGACGAAACATAATCTATCTTATGTTTATTTGATGTTGTTATCGAATAGTTTCAGTGTTTAGCCACTGTCATTAAACTAATTATTTTAAATTGAGTTGTCATCAAAAACCGGTTTTCTCACCTCCTGTTTGTTTACAATGATGAGCTCGCTGGTGCAGAGGGGTTGGGTTCTGATGGCAGATTGTATTGTCTTACTCCGAATATTGTTGGACTGGGTCGTCACCTCGAACTGGTACAACACGCCAGGCCTGTACATGGTAAACGGTACAATATGGTACATGATTTTTGGCGCATTTTGGTAAATTTGGTCCTTTTAAAATATTACATTCTGTACACTGTACAGTTTAAACCTTTTTTTAATTAACTATTTCTTTTTTACTTAATAGTAATAAACAGAAGTAATAACATTTTTTTTAATGCTGACCAGCCACAAAGTCGGGGCCATATCAGGTTAAAAAATTACTTAAAAATAAACTTGAAGTTACCAATAAGATTAAATTTAACACACCTAAGGTTTTCGATGAGCACAGAGACCATCCTCGAAATTCCTTCTGTTGGTGCGTCACCAGGAATTTCGCGCGCGCGCACATCTTCCGGATCCTCCAAGGGGAACCAGGTTACATAATACTGGTCTAAACAATGGCAAAATATGTTAACAAACAATGCACACTATTCGAGACACAGACAGAAATATTAAAATCGTTCAAAGATTCCTAATATTTGAGATTAAAAGAAATTTCCAGAATAAAAATGATGATATCTTCCTCATGGTTACTCAGATAAAGATTTAAGCGGTTCCATTTTGATTCGGACATTTCACTCTATGAAACGAGGTTCTTATGATGGTTGACAGAAAACCTCTTTTAGTTGGGTTGGGTAAAAGCTATAAATCTATAATAATGTTGCCCTTCAATAAGGTCATGTTATGTATCAAATCACAGGGAGGCCTCTTTTTGACATAAGAAAATATATATTATAATCGGTTGATTTAACACTTCAAGGAACATTCTTACAGATGTAAATATTATTGTTTTTAACAATATAATAGCATTTTTATTGTTGTACATATTTAATTGTTTTATAATAACATTCTTGCTGGTTGCCAAAGTTTATGTGTTTTAACCTTATCAATTTATTTTCATTGATTTAATATTTTGACCATTTTTGGAGGACATTATCAAAGGAAGGTCAAAATGGAGGTCGGATATATGTGTCTATATCAGCGCATGACTTATGTGGTAGCAAAAAAAAATATGAAAACATGTCTAATTTACTTATCATAATTGAATTAGGGTAAAAAAGTAGTATTTTCTGAGTTCATTGAGGACAAAATAGAGGTCATTGACCTCCGCTCCGCTCTTACAATGTAAATTGTGATCTGTGTAGATGACCATAATTAGAGGCTGCATGTAAAAATTTCAGCCTTTTATCTCAATTATTAAGACCAAACCCAGCCTGTACAAAATTTGTTGTCAAAAAGTCTCGAATTAGTGGGCACTGGGACCCCTTTGACGTTTTTTAGCAAAAAAAAAAACGGTGATAGACCTACCTATCCTTCCATCAGGTCTCGGCCACTGCAGGGTGATATTCTCAGCATCTAGACTGGGTTGAATATCTGTGACAGGTTGAGGGGATATGGTTTGAGTCACCTCCAGGGGTTTACCACTCGCTACTCGGTGGGACATAGAGTCAACCTTAAACATTTTTGTATTCAAAAATAAATCTAAATTTTATATTTAAAAAAGAAGAAATAAAATCAACTTCCAATCAAAATAAAACAATCCTTGGGCAGACTAGAATTATTTTGTGATTTACAATGTTTATTTTCCAAAATCCATGAGTACACTGAAAATGTTGTGATTTACAATCCCTGTTTTCCAAAATCCATGAGTAGACCGAAAATATTGTAATATACGATCCCAGTTTTCCTTAAGCCATGAGCATTGAAATTAAACTGAGGTGTTTACAAACAATATTTAAATCAAGTAATTTTTTTTATAAAAAGATACATCTGGATTTGTCCAAAGAAGATGATTGAATTTGGTGGTTGTAATTGAAAAAACCAAAAACGTGTGACTCTAGATTATTTTTATCAGATAATTACAAAAATATAATCGTTTTTTTTCACGGCATTTTCAGCTAAAATATGTTTCATATCCGGTCACTCCCTTTAAAGAAAACTGTTACCTGTATCTCATATTGCTCTCCAGGTGATAAATCCTTGAGCACGTATTGGGTCAACTCATTAGAGATAGAGTTTATCTCAGTCCACTCCTGCTCTTCAATAGTATCCCCATATGCTCGATATCTTAACATACAATTGTTAATTGTGTTCTTAGTAACAACATATAATCCATAACTTAAAGGGACTATATGTGTAAACGTAATTTTAAGTGACCTTCCATTTATAAAGTGGAATGTCCGATTCACAACGATACCCTTTAAACCTTTGCTTAATCAAGGATTTCGTAGGTATTCTTGTTTATAGCGGGAAATTAAGTGCCAAGAAACCGTGAGTGTACACTATCACGGAGAGTACAGTGTCAGTGTACACTATCACGGAGAGTACAGTGAACAGTGTACAGTGTACACTATCACGGATAGTAAAGTGTACACTGTGACCTCAAGTCTCCCAGTACTATCTTCAGCTATACAAATGAAAGCATCTCCTCATCGTTGTCCGGACAAAGGTTTAAAGGGTACCGTTGTGAATCGAACATAACTATTTATAAATGGAAGGTTACTTGAAATAACGCTTACAGTCCCTTTAATAATAAATGGATAAAACCTACTCCTTGACATTTTAAAGTAAAAAAAAATGAAAACTAAAAGAATCAATTTTTCATTTCCTACCAAAACTAAATTGGTGAACATTTAAAATTTTTAAACGATCCATTTTTTAAAGATCGCGAAAAGTCTCTTTCAAAAGTCTCTTTATACCTGATAACATATTGAGTGTAAAGAGAGTCTACAGGAGGAAGCCAGGATAGGGTCACCATATTCTCCTTCACCGCCAAGATACTCAGATTACTGAAATATCACAAGTTTCACAATTCGGCGATGGTGATGGACCAAACCTCTGCAGAGTAAAAAAGTAGATTTTAGTTCCACATTTATTGAAATTAAAAACAAACTCTTCACTCTATGGATTATCTCGGATTCCAAAACTTAAGACAGGGTTTGTTGTAAAACCCAGTTTCGGAAACCTGTTTTAATAAATGAAGTTTAAGACAATTTTGTAGAAACCAATTAAATTATTGAGAAAAAATAAGTTATATGGTTTCTTTTATATTTTTTTATTTAATGTTTTCTAAATTAGAATCTAGTGTATAGACCCCCAATAATGAATCTGGACAGTTTGCATGTTTTCATCGTGAAAAAAAAAACATTTAGATTCTGTTATCATTGATCTTTTTATGAATGTCTAAATAAATAATGTAAGAATTCCACCAAACCATGTAATTATTAACCATCTCCTCATACCAAACATCAATTTAAAACTTTCATAAATTCAAAAATTCTCCAAAATATGTTTACCTCGGTGGATTCGGAAGAACAGCTGTAAATGTGAAGAGGGGTTCAGATCGTAAATTGTGACTTACTGCATACACCTTTATAAAGAAAAATAATTATAAAAAACCATTCACTTTTAAAAGGGAAACAGAAAAAGTCTCACCCACATCTTTTCTGTTGAACGTTACACAATTAAGAAATAAAAATTAATATATATCTTTGGTTTTAAAAATGCAAAAATAATCAAGTAAAGATTTAAAATTTTCTGGTTTCAGCTGATTATACTAAACTTGTTTTAAGTTCTGCAATATGCAAAAATATGCTAAACCGCCCGGGGAATGGTTTTGCAAAGATTGTATGCCTTCTGTTTGCAAAAAGGCTTTAGCAGATTGCAAAACAGTGTGGTTTGCAACAAGGTTTTGATGGAGGTGAACAGTTTGCGGATTTTTTTTTTGCAATTAAGTTGCGCAGTTTAAAGATTACCAACCTTTGATCTTTAACGCTCGATATAGATTTGTTTATTGTGTGAAAATTTGTCTAAATGTAACAAAGGTTTAAAAGTTAACCAGATAGATCTTGATTTCAATCTTAAATAATGTCTAGAAGCGAAATAAGGAGTAAATCAAATAAAGGAAATAGGAATTCTTCTGCAATAAATGGAGTACTATTTCTGTTAATGAAGTAGTATTAAGATACAGGGAGTACTTATACAATAAAAGGAGTACTCTTCCTGTTCTTGGAGTAGAATTAAGATACAAGGAGTACTTCTTCACTTTATGGAGTACTATTTCAGTTAATCGAGTAGAATTAAATACAAATAAGATTGCTATATAATATATGAAGTATTATTTCTGCTGATGGAGTAGAATTAGTATTTTTCACTAAATGGAGTACAAATCTTGCTAATTTGGTAAAATTAAGATAATGGGAGTACTTATACTATATATGGAGTACTCTTCCTGTTCTTGGAGTAGAATTAAGATACAGGGAGTACTTCTACACTTTATGGAGTACTATTCCTGTTAATCGAGTAGAATTAAAATACAGAGAAGAATGCTATTTAATATATGGAGTATTATTTCTGCTGATAAGAGTATAATTAGTATTTTTTCACTAAATGGAGTACAAATCCTCTTAATTATGTAGAATTAAGATACAGGGAGTACTTTTACAATAGATGGAGTACGACTCCTGTTAGCATAGTAGAATTAAATTACAGGAAGTACTTGCACACTATATGGAGTACTATTCCTGTTAATGGAGTATAATTAAATTACAGGGAGTACTTCCGTACTATATGGAGTACTATTCCTGTTAGTGTAGTAGAATTAGAATTTAAATTTACCTTGATATTATATCCGGCCCCGGGATATAAATTCGTCAGAGATGTTAGTTTATCAGTGGTCTGGACATTCACGGACCTATAATCAATCAAATTAATTTATTATTTTTTCTTAAATAATGTAATTTTTCATCAAAATAACATTTAATATTAATTAGAATTAAAATCTAGGAATTTAATTAACATTTGATACAAACTGAAACAATGGACAATGACAAGGGGTTAAGCGGTTCCCAGAAATAAACAAAACTCGGAAATAAAATTATTCTGTAAGGACTCTCAAAATCTACACATTTACCACAACAATATTTTTTTCGAATAATTACTATTTGATCTTTTCATATCAGTGTAAATAAGCTGTTTGTCGTGTAAATCAGATTTTGTGACTTGCGATAACAATAGTGCAGAATTTTAGAAAAAAAACTTTAGGATACATTTGAAACCAATGCGGCATATTTCTGCTAACTAAAACAACTAGTGATTACAAACGACTTTACGCTCTTGTTTAAAAATTGTTCACAGTAAAAATGTCTCATTGGTATCAATTGAATCCTTAAGTTTTTCTCTACAAAACTGCACTATAAGCTCAATTACATGTTGCAAGTCACTCCCTTTAAATAGGCATCATATTTTCTCACTTACTAAATCTTTTTTAATATTATTTCCCTCCTCCCGACTCCAAAAAAAAACTAACGCTGCGACTAGGAAGAGCCAGGAAGATATTCTACGGGGGGGCCGGAGGGGGGGGGGGAGAAAATGAAAAAAAAAACACAATATGAACTTACTTGTCTGTATCATTCCTAGTGTAAGTGAGGACATACTTCTCCTGCTTGGAGGTCACGTCCGTCCTCCAGGAGATATTGAGGCCGCCAGGAATAGGTTTTACAACCTCGATCACAGGGGAGGAGGGTCCTAATTTAAATAGATGGTTAATCAAAATAACCTTTGGTTTGCTTTCAGAAACGGATATAAAAAATTAGAGTTAAAATATATCCTCAAAAATAATATTAGGTTTATAAAAAGGAACATTTAAAAAAAAAGTCCCGTAAAAATGTTAAAATGCTGTTTTAGGCACAAGCTGTATTGACTACCATGCATAAATATTTAAATCCATGATCCATTTAATCCCTAGTCCGAGTCCTATGCACGTCTTTCAATAGAATAAAGGGCTGGATATGATTCATCAAACATTTCTTACGAAAATAAATAAAAAATAGTTTAGGATAAAATAAAAAAAAATGCAAATAACGGATGTTGAAGAATGAAGACCCCTGATGTTTTGGGCGACAAAGCACTGAAATCTGAGCATGGTGGATGCAGCAGGGTTTGACATTTATAGCTATAAAACAGAGTTCTTGTTAGAGTCCACAACCATTGTTTGAAATACCTTTCAAAAAGGGGGGGAATAACTCCTAGCTACTGGAATTCCCATTTTCCATAGGAATTGAATCGTCTTTATTTTACGCAGCACGGTTCAATTAATATCTTTTAAAAGGGGAAATATAAGTCCAAGCTCCCTGGAATTCCAACGTCACACGAAAATTCACAACTTTAAAATCGTCTCTAATTTACGCAGCAAGGTGCAGGGGTAGGGTGTGAGGGATAATATTTGCACCTATTCCTAACTTTAATCATCTCAATCTTAATCTCAATCTGTTGAAACATAATTTGCAATCCTATACAATATGCAATGCAGTTTGAGGCTTAGAAAAGACATGGCAACGGTCATTAAAGAATATTAATTACTAAGTAAATTAGTTAACCCATAAAAGGAGGCAATGAAAACGATGGCTTTGAGGTTATGGTAAAAAATGTATATTTTAAAAAAACTTTAAATTATTTTACAACGAACAAAAGACTAGAGCTGGGAACTCTTTTATTATGGATATTGAGATCAATGCTTGATCTCGATCTTTTTTAAATGCAGATTAATTAAATCTTTATTCGATATCCCGGGAAGTATGGAAAACTATTAGCCAATCAGAAGCCAGGGCATTTTGGTTTCAACCAATTAGATAACAGAGAAATCTCAGATATCCAAAAAAAGATGCTTAAGAAAACAATCAAAAGTGTCCCAAGTGGATATCGAGATTAAGGGTATCCAACAAAAAAATTCCCAGTTTATGTAACTTACTTGTTGCTTGGAACACGGTCATAGGTGTAGAATCTATTCCATTACTGATTGCTCGGACCGCGATACTGTAGTTCCTACCAGGCTGTAGGTTATCCATCGAGAAATATGGTTCCTACATAAAGATTCAGACTTTATAACAGGGACTGTAAGCGTAATTTTAATGACTCTCAATGCTAGGATAGAAATGCCACTCTAAAAGGTACTGTTGTGAACCGTACATGCCACTCTAAAAGGTACTGTTGTGGACCGTACATGCCACTCTAAAAGGTACTG